GAATTCTCCAGCCAGCCATGCTGGCTGGGGAATTCTGGGAGTTGAAGTCCACACGTCTTAACGTTGCCAAGGTTGAGAAGCACTGCCTTAGATCATATCCAAGATACAATCCAACACATTTAGGTTACATCCAGCACTGAAGCTTGGGAGAAAAGTTCAGAAAAGCACATAGCTTATGCCAGTGATGGCTTGTGATTTCTAATCAACATCTGTTTGCTGGTTGATATGGAGCTCTTAACAAAGGGTCTCATTTTAGCATGGTAAGAATGCTGCTTCCTTAACATTCCCACAGCCCTTTGACCTATTGCTGATCGTGGCTGAGGACCCTCAAGGTACGATCACCCAGTTCCCTTTACAGAGATCCCAGGATCCTCTTACGAGAAGGAAGGACTATAAAACCAATGTACGCGCCTAGAATGCTCCTTGAATATGGACAGTATTGGGGGCTGCTGATGGCTATTCTGGGCTGTGTGGCCAAACATTTGGACTTCCCAACAGCTCAGAGCCGCTCCAAAGGGCAGCGTTCAGGCTGCTCTGTTTATTGTGTGGACAGGAGGGCCCGGGCGAATCTGGCACCCAAAAAGGGCCAGTTCCTGGTATTTTTCCACTACCTCCTGGTAAATTGGGCTGCTGTTCTTCAGAGCAAACTTAACGGCTGCATCTTCGTAGTGGGGTTGGGCGCTTGGACAGGGATCGTTCCAGCATTCTGGAGAAGGAGGTCTGACCGGCTGCAGTTGAACGCAGAGGGAAGCCAGGTTCTTCCCTGAAAGCAGATGTTTGTACCTGTCCAAAAGATAAGCACAATAACAACGGTTACCATTTTATACTGGTTGCCTAAAGGAAGCCAGCTTTGTGCAGCATCTTCTGAGGACTACTTAGAGGTATTGCAGAATAAGCTGAGACAAGCAAGAGCCAGTTTTGCCAGATCTATTCTAAACCAGGGGAAGCCATGATTCTTCGCTGGACTGCCTAAGAATGAATCGACTGTCCAAGACTGTGGTCTCCTTGGGATGAGGAATAAGCCTAAAGTGGAAACCATCTGCCCAAGGGAGAGACGAGGACTGGCCCCATTGCAAATACACACTAAGAGGAACTATTTTCAGAGAGTTCCACTAGCAGGTTGAGAAACTCTTGTGGGAGTCACTCCCCAACTCCCCACACAGTCCCGGACCACAATAGCACAAGGCACCAGAACTCCTTTTTAGTGGGCAGTAGGGCAGAGACGGAGGTAGAAGAGTCGAAACAAGAGAAAACGGGGAGGAACAAAACAAGAAGGAAATGAAGCCCAGTGCCCCTCCAGAGCCCACCTACCCAGGAGTCTCCTCAGATACTGCAAAGTCCTCAGCACTGAAGGGAACCCGTGAAGCTGCTGCTTCCCTTTGGAGCATCCCTGCTCAGGGTGCTGGAGCCAGTGGCAGGGAGCCCTTTTGCGGTCCCCACCGAGACGTTTTGGAAGCCCGAGCAACGACCCTCCGTGTTCCCACAGACGTGGAAGTGAAAAGCGTTAGAGGAGCTCACCCTTCCTCCGGTCCCTACTTCCTACCTTTAACCGCAGTTCCTTTCTTTTCCGGGGAGACTTAGGTCAGCCACTCAGAGCAGCCCGGTCAGGAGGGAGACTCCGCAGCCCGCCCCAGAATCCCCCCGTGCTGAGGCAGGCTCTCGTAGCAGAGACCCCGGAGCCTGGCTTTGAAGAGTGGTGGGACCAGGTTGAGGGGTGGGGGGTTTTTTATGCTTCCTTCATTTCCCAGGCGTAAAGTGTGTTTTGTAACTGTTGCTGCAGAGTTTCTCCAGGTGCTCTACGTGATTTTGGAAATATAACTATTTTCCCTGCCTTTATTTCTTTAACTAAAGAGAAAGAGGAACTAATGGAAAGAAAGGGAAGTCGGAGGCACAACGCAGGACAGAAAAAGATTGAAAAAGAAGAAGAGGGATTTTCATAACAGACCGCTGTGGCTGCTGTTGTTACAACACAATCAACAGGATAATTGCTGATCTTAAACTGGGCGACCTGACCCAGTGGCCGTCCCCTGGTTCTACGGACGAGGCCTTGATGGCTGCGCCCTCCGCTCTGTTGGACCTTCGTATGGAAGAAATAGCTGTGGGTGGGTCAGGCCAGGTCTGAGGAGGATCGGCGGAAGAAGACGTTTAGGAAAGTCGCATAGCTTACCACCTGAAGTCTTTGGGAGGTACAATATTTCCCCAAATGTCTAAAGGCGGCGCTCGACACTCGCTCCTCAGCTTCAGCTGCTCACACTGCCTCAGTTCTCTCTGTGACTGGCTCAGAACCCTCTTCTTGTGCCTGTAGTCCACAAACAAGCCTTCCCCCTCGATGAACTTGACGTAGCTGTTCCCATCCATGAGCGAAGGAGGTGGCACCGGTGGCTCGGCCATGGAAGGCTTCCTGGGAGCAGTGATCCATCGCCACGTGTTGCTATCGAAAGGCTTGTCGGGTCTTGGGCGGTAGATGGGGGGCAGCCGCCCTATATCCAGCCATGTGTGGTAGCCCCAAACATGCCAAAGAACAGCCTCCTCGAGGGGGCAACGGATTTTCTGGCAAACCTTGATTTTGATATCTGTGTGTGGAGGTTTTTGAATAGCGAGTTTATGGTAGGGTCTGGGAGAAAACCCCGAGCATGGTATACATTTGTCTGCATAGAGGAAGTGCCTCTCTTTCCACGTAGACATCTTGGAAAGGCCACAAGGTAAGTCCTGGGTGGGAAAAAGAGAGGGGCTCATAGACCTCACAAGCGCCAACAGGGTTACAATGTGCTATCAAGCGCCCTGCCTTGGGTGTCCCAGTCACACTCCCTTCATAAATCTGCCATCTCCTTGACTCCTCATCAATCTCGTAACCCACTTTTTTTTTTCAGTTTAAAGGGAATGGCCAGATTTAGTAGCCTTAACCATAAACGTGTGTGGAGAGGCAAGATAGCAGCTGGAGTACAAGAAGGTGGTCTTTGCTTGAAGCAAAGTGCACACAGTTTCAGTCCAGAGCTTCCACGCTCAGAATAAAATGAATTATGCTGGTCCACACCGTTCTAGGAGACGTGACTGGAGTGTTGCCTTTTTAAAAAAAATAAATAAATTATGCTCTTATTAATTGAATTAAAAATAAACAGAAGGAGAAACAAATAGCACGGAAAGTTGCAAAGAAAGAAGAAAAACAAATGAAACAAAACCATGCAGATATATTCAGAGATACGTATATACAAGTTCTACATAAAAACTTCAATGAATGGTAGCCATATTTCATTATAATCATCCATAGCTAATCTACGTTGATAAGTGATTCATTCATAAGTTGCTAGCCAGGTTTGCAGATACCGAGTTGTTGGGGCCCTATGCTTAACTTTCCAATGCTGAAGAATTAAATCTTTTAGATATAAACAAGGCAAGGAGAATCAATTTTCTTTGTCCACATGTCAATTTCCATCCAAAAGGAACATAGCTCAAAAAAAAAAAAAATGAACACCTGGGAATATTAAATGTTGCCTCAGTGTTGAATTAATACGTGTAATAACTTCCTCCCCGAATAAAACACTTATAGGACACTGGACAAGCTTCTTCAAATGACCGTTGCATAGCCAATAGCAATGATTTAGTGTTATCGATATAAAGATAATGGAGTCCAATAAGTCTGTAACATTTTGCAGAAGAAAATACGATCTAAGATCTTTTGAAAATTTGGTATTGATGTTAACACCTCTTCCCATTGCCTAAGTATAGTAGGAATCTCTAATTCTTTATGCCATTCAACCACTAAGGTTTGCAGAGCAAACTGATTCACCAGTTTTGATTTGGTTTTTTGGGCCTTCTTGGCAATGAGTCCCTGCAGTTTTCTTGGCAAGATTTTGGGAGTGGTTTGCCCTGGCCGCCTTCTTCCTGGGGCTGAGGGAGAGGGACCGGCCCGAGGGCACCCAGCTGGTTCCGTGCCCAGGGCGGGACTAGAACGGACCACCTGCCGGTTTCTAGCCCGGGGCCTTCACCACCACACCAAACTGGCTCTCCAGCCTCAACTTAACCCGAGAAGAAGGCTCGAAATGCCGTTTTCTAAAAATGACATACCACAATCTTTGAGCCAGTATAATAGCAGAGGAGCTAATTGAAATCTATTATATTTTGATCTTAGGGTATACTCCAACTATTCCTGAGGGGCCCAAGAAGGAGAATTTATAGTAAGGAGAGTTTTCCAAAATTTGGCACTAGCAATAGGTATGCAAATAATTTAAGATTTTGAAAAATAAAAGCTTTAATGGACAACTGCATCTTTTTCTTTTTCTTTCAATTAATTTTTATTAAGAAATTTTACAGAATAAAAACATTTAAAAGAAAAAGAAAATAAAGGAGAGTAAAAGAAAAGTGGTGAGAAAAGAATGAAGAAATGAGAGAGGAGAGAAATAGGAAAAAAGAGGAAAAGAAAGACAAAATATAAAGAAATGACTTCCGATCTTCTTCACGGCCGTTTGAAATACATTTGAATTTTATCCTTTTGCTCAAAGGTTACATCATAACTCCCTTCTTTCTATAATCTACCCTTTCTGATCGCCAAACCCATAAATCACAAGTACACGTTTTTCCGTTTTCAGCAAGAAGTCCGTAAAGTGTTTCCAGTCGCTTGCAAATGTGGTTATTGTCTTTTCTTAATTAAACAGGTCAATTTTGCCATCTCAACAACTGCATCTCTTTCAGTGATGCCCTCAGTATTGAAGATCCCCACAAAAAATTATGAAACAAATTTTTGAAAATATTTTGTGCACAAACACACACACGTACACACATATCCATTTCCTTCTAAACACTTCCTTCCTTGTTTGATGCAGGGTATTTAAACATTCCTAAGTACAATAACATTTTCCCTGAAAAAAAATAGCAATGAATAAAGCATATTGTGATTGGCCTGTGGGGCCTGACTTTTGGTACACCCCAAATACATACTATTCCCTAGGCAAAATATCTAATATTCTAGAAGATACGTCCATTAACCTTGCCCCAAAGGGTAGGATTGAAAGACTGCCACCTGTCAAGATCCAAAGAGATCCCATGGTATAGTTTAATCATATTTAAAGTGATTATCTGCAAAATATCACATGGGATAAGAATCCCAAGATATTTAATTATTAATTACAAATACAAAACTGGTAATTGGTTAATGAATTAATTAAGGGATTTTTACCTATTGGCATCAGTTGGACCAGCTAATTGAACATCCTGTTCTTTTCCCAAACATATTTCACAAATGCATCAAAGCTGGAATCGAAGCATGAAGTGCAGGCATAAATAATAAAATGTCTTCAGAATATAATATTAATCTATATTCTAATTCATTATTATGTAATCCATGAATGTATTAATCTTGTCTGATGGTGGCACCAGGTAGGGGTTCCAAACAAGTATTCAAAGTCAGAGGGTTGCCTGGTCCTTCTGTAAAATGGAAACAGTGGATGAAAAAATTTCCCTAAACCTTTCCTTTGGGTGAAGGACCTGCATACAGAACCCAGATACAATTTATAAATTCTTCAAGAAACCCAAACTTAGCCTGACTGCTAAACATATATTGCCAATAAATTTTTAACAAAGTCCTTTTCATGATCCAGTTTTGTATCTGCAGTTTGATCCTCCCTATCTTCATCCAAATCAATCAGATTGAACATTATCTGATCCACATCTGCTTTTAACAAAGCCATCTTGATCATTCTTGGCCACTGAGATCAGATTTGCAACCCGTTCGTTAACAAAGAACGGCTGGATGTTGGTATCTACATTTATCAGAGAGATAGGCTGATAATCTGAGTATGATGTATACTATTTGCTTAGTTTGGGTATCAGTATAATATAATCATTAAATGATAACAATCAAATGGTTTTCTCTAAAATATTATTATATAAGTCATAAAGCTTAAGAACTAGTGACTCGTAAAATATAGTACCTGGACCATCTTTGGCCCTCCTGGCATTATTGGGACCGGGACAGAGAGTCCGACCTGCTGCAGCCTGACGCCAACCCCACTTCGCCCCAGGGACGTGGGACACGGAGGTGGGTGTGCGCTGCTGGGGGTAGGGCTCGACAGAGCAGGTCCCTGTTGCTGTTCACCTCAGCACCTCCCAGGCCAGGCAGGTGCTGAAGGTGGCTCTTACAGCAGGGCAACCTTTCGGAGTTGAATGTCAGGGCAGCCTACGTTCTTCACAGTCATGGACAATGGAGGCTGCAGATGAGCAACCAACCACTGGACCCAGTTGGTCAGTTTCAGTTGTATCATTCAAAAACTGCAACTAGTCACCTGTGGTGAGATGGGCAGCTACATAAATTGATTTAACAAACAAACAAACAAATAAATAAAAAAAATAATTGCGGGTGACAGCCTTGGACCGGAAAGATCAGGATTACACAGGCTGGTATGGACAAGCGCCATAAGGTTGTTTTTTATTTGCATCAGATGGTCAAGTCGAGGTAGATGTGAGACCATCTTCAGGTTAAGAACAACCTTGCACTAATCCTTGATGGGAAAGATCTAGTTTCATGAACCATGGTCTGAATTTTCAAGAAGATGGACTGTGGCATTGCATGAGAATGGGGAGCATGATCGCAGGGTCTTTAAACTGAATCCTGTGGGCTTTGCTATCATAAATGCCAAAAAAACCTCCAGCAAAGATGTGTGCACTGCAGTGTTGCTGCATAGACAATGAAGGTCGTGACTGTTATGAGCCAATGTTTTTCCTGATTATTTTAAGCTGAGTTGTTTAAGCTACTCCATTGCAGCAACATTCCAACTTCTTCCTACAATGTCCAAGTCTTTGTATCAGGCCTTTCTTCACAATCTTCATGCCCCCCACCTGCAATCCATCCTGAGCAGAAACCCCATGCTGTGGTGAAGACATTTTTACTAACCCTTGTGAGATAAAATTTATCTTTTGCCAGTGCATCATCTGGATGTTTCAGACCATGGTCCCAGAAGCCAAATCTCTCCTTTCAACTCCATTTGCCTAGCTGGGCATTTAGTGGTAAAAGTCTTTCTGTTTCCTGCGCTCTCCCATAGACTGGGAGATGGATTAAAAGGTCACCTGAGATTCAAGGTGGTTGTGTTTCCTTCCTAAATCCTAAAAAGTCCTTGGTGATTCGCCATAGCTGTTCTTTGATGATGACTGCAGCAAAGCAGATACTGTCCCTATCTTCAAAGAGGGGGAAAAGGAACATCCAGTAAATTACAGACCAGTCAGTCTGTTATCAACATCTGGGAGAATTCTAGAGCAAACCAGAGATTCCTCTGTAAGGATCGGGAAAACAATGCAGCAAGTCAGCATGGACTTTTCAAAAGTTGCCAGACTAAAGCTATCTTGTAAAAAACAATTAAAAAGAAATCAGGTAACTTCCTGAATAGATTGTGGGTGTGATGTGGCATAATATATCTTGCTTCAGCAAAAACCACCACCACTACCACCCTATTATATGTGGGTTACCAAGCTAGTTAAGTGTGGGCTGGATGGTGTAGCAAGCAGGTAGATACATAGCTGGCTGGAAAAAAAATCCTATTTAAAGAGTGCTCGTCAGTGCTTCCTCATTACTGGAGAGCGCTATCAACTGTGGTGCTAGGAGGATGGGTCTTGGGATCTCTACTCTTCAATAGTTCTATTAATGACATGAGTGAAGAGAGGCTTATAAAATTTGGAGGAAACGAAAGAGGCAGGATAGGCAATATTCTAGAAGACAGAAGTAAAATTTTAAATGGTCTTGACAGGTTAGAGAATGGGAATCTGGCATGGGATTCTCTTGGCAGCCCAAACACATCGACCTCATCTCGAGACAACGCCCTTCTTTGCTACTGGAACCGCAGCTGAATGGCTATTTCATCCCTCTTGCACATCTTAGATTGCAAAGCAGTCACAAATGTTTTACAGCGTTCACCTTGGGGGCAACGTCAAGTGGTAAGTATTGTTCTTTTGTTCCAAAATTACAGTAAGTACATCTGTTATTCAATCTTTTTATTAAGCCAAACAAAAATTTGCTCCGTGTTGAACCAAGGTAAAGATAAGACTATAAGAGAGCCTTTCCACTGGATAAGATTTTTGATAACTGAATTCTGGACTGTTGTAACTACCTCCTTAAATTTAAATGTTTAAAATTTTTTAAATTAATTTTAAAAAATTTAGTTTTAATGATTGCTTTATATGTATTTATGGCTTTTTAACTGTTGTATGCCACCCAGAGTCACTTTTTTCTGAGATGGGCGACTATGTAAAAGTGATCAATCAATCAATCAATCAATGAGGGAAGGTGAAAAGAATTCTCATTGAAAGCTTCTGTGGACCTGACTATCAGCCAGCCTAACAAGGTTCCCTTCCTGCAGAGATTATTACAGCTTGAAGGCTGCTAATCGCGGCTGACCATTTACTCCCATGGGCATCTGCAGGGGGTCAGGTGGTATCCTGCCCAGCAGGACATCAGTGTGCAGATGGCACGTATCGTTTGCACGTATCTGAACAACGATGCCACGTCATGCAAGACATAATGGCTTCTACCAGACTCTTGCGTGGTACAAAGGATTTTCGTTTTTTGCAACAAATAGAAAAATATTTTACCCCCGACAGCCCCCCCCGTGCCCTAACTGTGAAGATCATTCTTGGGGGCTGTTTGGTTGCCCCAACCCTGCAAGGTTTAATGCACGGGTCATCAGCTGAGCCACACCGTAGATAGCTATGGTCTGTAGGCCTGTATACCCCAAAGGTCCTTGGGAAGAAATCGGTTTCAAACAGCAAGTGGGGCTTTGTGAATATTTTTATGAAACTGAATAATGCAACTGAAAAAAGAAAACTGTATTTCTGCACGTATAAAGCAGAGGGGATCACTTGCCTTTATTCTGTGGGTTTCGCGTCTTCTTTCCTTCTCTCTGCCTTCTACAAAGCTGGCTTTCTCACTTTCATCACTGATAAATTACCACAGCAACTAGTTGTGATGTCACATCCTAGGAACTGTGACTTCAGCCAAGGTTGAAGGAAGAAAATGGTGACCAGGTCATCTTCCTGCACAGGGACAGGGGCTAAAAACGTTCCTTGGCTTCCCTTTTGCTTCCCAGTTGTAACCAGCTCTTCCTTCCCAGAACCGGTAGCTGATTGCCTGTTCCCGTCTTATGGTGCTGTTCGGTGAAAGGCAAGATCAGCGCGTGTAACCTAGAAGTTCAGTATGGAAACTAACCTTAGCCAGCATTAACTTTCTGCAGACTCATAACCCTAATCCTGACCGAGAGCAATCCTGTGAAACTCAGCCAGCCATCGGCAAGTATTTGCAAACAGGGCCCAGAGGACCAGCTCAAACCCAGCCTTTGCCACGGGTCGCTCTTAGCCCACCCTCCTTGGGCTGCTCTGTGGCCGTCACAGAGATGTGACCAATAGTCCTGCCTTGGGTGCGAGGCCAGCGGGGTGACCCT